ATGTCGATGTTTTGTTTGTTAAGGAAGTCAATGAACTCGATGATCTTGCTCTTGAGCGAGCAAGCGTTCCAGTTGGCGATCTTGATGGTTTGACGGTCCATAATTGTCGATGAAACGTGATGCAGCAAGAATCTGCTCGGTTCTGGTTCTGCAGGAGCGCTTGATAATGATTGCTTCTGCCATGATGGTAATAAGTTCCTCTGTTGTGAGTAGCTCTTCGTTTTCATGCGCGATAGTAGGGCATCATCTCGACGCCACGATAGACCCGGGGGAGGGGACGAAACCGTTGCCGCAAAGGACTGACGGCTCGGATTAGCCGGATGGTTTGGCACCTCAGCAGTTGGCGGGACCGATGCAGCAGCAGCAGCAGCCAAACGGTTGTTGAGCGGTAGTGGCGGAAGAATCGGAATCGGATGCCGTTGGCTAATGGCGGGGAAATTTTGCTCATTGCGTGCCGGTACCTTTTTCCGACCCGGCTGGTTCTGCATGGAGGACCTTTTGCGGATTCCTCCTCGATGTCGTGAGAGAAATACTCCCATTTTTTCTGCTTCAGCAGCACTTCAACGGCCTTGTAGTCCTTCCTTGCTGGTACCATCAGCATGATGCCTTCAGAGCACAGGCGCATGGTGCACTTCAAGAAGCCTTTCTCGATGTTTTCCCGAAGTCCAGACGGGAATCCCTTGACAAAAAAGGGTGGTAGTTTCTCCTTCTTCTTTATTTCCGGTTCATCACCATTTTCCAGAATGGCGTACCGGTTGTTGGACAGCAGCTTTTTCGAGGTCGACTGAGCGTTGGCGATTTTCTGACGGGAAGAGTTTCCAGATTTGTTTCACGATGTACCAGTTCTAATAGCGATTTTTAAAAATAAGGGTGATGTATAGACCAAGGTTTAAAGCGCCAGTTACACTATCCTCCTTGTGAATGTATTGACATGTGTAACGTCCGCTTTAGATGTATAGATGTTTAGATGTAGCTTTTTGATGTTTACTCGGCGCACACTATTGCACCATTTAAATCGAATGAGCGCGAGTAAGAGGGAAACAAATTAGTGGGAAAACAAACCGTCCGTTCTCCATGTGTGCTAGATAGAGAAAGATAATTAAACGTCAAAAAGGTCTATTGGCGTTGTAGCTGTAGCTCTTTACTCATATGAGAAAATCCATAAGCAAACGTCAGACTGTGCGTGAAACATGGCGGACTTTGTACTATCCTTTCACTCAACCGAAAATTCCCATAAGAAATTGTCTATATTTGCTGGAAGAGCAAATTTTTCGACGATGCTGTCAACGCCAATGGGCAAAAACAGCGCCGGATGCAAGCTATTTATAAACAACCCAAATTTGAGTAAGATCGACTCATATCCACCAAAATTTAGTAAACAAAGTTGGGACTGACAAGATGAAGAATGAACACCTGAATCCGAATGTTAATTTGTTATCTTGTCAGTTACAATCTTGTTTGCTCAATATTGGGTAGATCTACTTCTAATGGAAATGAGTAGATCTTACTGAAATTTGGATTGTTTAGAAATAACGTGGGCAGAAAGGTGGAAACACTCGCTGTACACGGCCAACGAATTTGGGTTGATAATTTGATTTTCCTTTACTCATCGCAAAAAAGTGCAAGAAATTCCGCAATGAGTAAATTTGCTTCATGTTTTCCAGTTTTTTCGCGCTTTTTCAAGGAAAAAATTCCAGAATATGACAACAGTAACGATTGGATTTTCTCGATCTATTGGTACTACTACTAGGCTGAGTAAATTTTTCGTAAATTTTCCTCATTTTCCAGCAGATTATTGAGGTTTTTATTTGGGTTGATCTCATCGGCCGTGCAAAAATTTGAAGGGACAACATCTGACTGGTCTTATAGAGCTTTTCGACGTCTAATCGGCGCACACTACTGTACCATTTAAATCCAACGAGTGCGAGCAAGAGGGAAACAGATTAGTGGGAAAATATACCGTCAATTCATACATGTGTGATAGATAGAGAAAGACGATTAAGCATCGAAAAGGTCTATTGGAATACGTAGGGTAGGATGGTTCAAAACGCAGCCCTGGTGTGCATTATGGGCTGTTCTACAATTCCACAATTTTGCGTACGATTTCTTCTTCTTATGATAACGCCCAACCTAAACGTAAAGCCTTCCCCTGACTTAAAAAAAACGGGGTTTAACGACATGCACGTATCAACCATATTGATCGAATAAGACATCTCTAAAAAGGATTGCCTAGATGATACATACAGACATCAGCAAATTTCATCTTGCCGGGTCGATTTTTCATGTTCAATTTGATTCTACGATGTCGTAATCAAACTGTCGAGCCAGATCGAGCCGAGTTCTATCGATTGGGAATGTTTTATACAGGTGAGATAGCTTGTGTGGATGGCTATCGGTCACAGACGGCAAGACGTGTGAAAATCGATTCTAATACCTATGTTACGGTAGTGATGGGTTTACTCCTGTAGACATATGACAAAGTCTATGTTCTAATTCTGCAGGAAAATAATTTTGGGTAAAATTGAAAAAAAAATTATTAAATTAACATAGAGAACCTCTTGGGCCAAAAATTGGTTCACTTACCCTAGTAGTAATATTTTTAAGGGATAGAAGTTTTGTTTCTTTTCGCCCCGGTGTTTCTATTCACCCCATTTTACGGTACCTTTATTCTGTACCTGTTTCATCAACTTCACGTTTTTCAGCATTTATATAGTCGAATATTTCACAGAATATTCGCCCGATTATTCGGCTCACCGAATAGCAATTGACGTTGTTAACAATATTTAGTTGGACTAACAATTTTGCTTCTAATTTGAGTGTACGATAACATCGTTGAAAATTATTTCATTAATTTATGCAGAACAATAACAGAAGATGCTTTTTATTGGGAGCAAAATTTATCCCAAAATTCATGCCAAAAACATATAATTGATGTTGGTTTTTTGAAAAGGGAAATGACAATTTACAAACGTCAACAATCGCCGGAAGTTAATCCATGATGGCTATTTAAGATATATCTTACTGCGAGCAGTATTCATCTCAAAAACAATTATTTGTCATTGGATTTTTCTAGAGTGCAATTTTAAACAACTCCAAAAACTGTTTACACGCTAGACATATCAACAGTCAAAAATCGTTAAAATTCACTCCAATTAAATATGCATGATTGTTACATAAGATATACCTTTTAGTGAGCGACATTCATCACGAACACAGGTATTTTTTACTGGGTTTTCTTAAAGTGCAAACTTACAAATATTACTGTCCAATAGTTTCTAGATGTCTGTTCCACCCGTGACATATCAACAGTTTTTCACTAAAAACATATCGGACAACATTCGTATACATCTTACCCATCACTAACCACTTTCAAAGCAAAGGAATGACATGTACTAAGTATGTCAATGGAATTGTATGGCATTTATCAATCATCACATAGAATGAAAGACCTTCTGACATTGCTATGCTATAAGATGGACCCAATAAACCGTACATGCCGCTTTGTTTCAGTGTAGTTGTCACCATGCCATCTGCGTGCACGGTCGTTCAATCTGACTCACATTCAGGCATGGAAAATCATTTGCATTCATTTCATACATTCATTTACATTCATTTGCCTCTAACTTTTTTGATCAACATCATTCCGCAAAATGATGTACAGAGCTTTTGTAGGTTTTGTTATTAGCTACAACTTTTGCTCATCATTAAAATCTGTATCACTTATGCATCACGAACTAGAGCGAGCACTGAAAAACAGTAGTGGCTTCTGTTCGCCCTGGTTCGTCGTGCATAAGAGATACGAATTTGACTTGTCCACTAAAGTAGTAGCTAATAACAAAACCTACAAAAGCTTTATACATCAATTCGCAGAATGTTGTTCGAGAAAAAAGTTAGAGGCAAATGTATGTAAATGAATGCACGAAATGAATGCAAATGATTTTCCATGCCTGCTCACATTTGTGTTCCGTTAACTTAAATTCGCTAAAACATATGTAGGTCACTCGTAGACTGAGTAAATTTTTAAGCAAATATGAGTGAATGTCACCCAAATATCAGTGACAGTCACTCATATTTGAGTAGAAATTTACTAAGTCTATGAGTGACCTTAGATTTTTCGAATTTGTGTAAACCGAACTCACATAAGTCACTTTCGACGGTCGTATGCAATTAGCGAGGCAAATGACTGGGACTGGATCCAAATACGGTAGCTGTGTCTTCAACGTGCTACACTTCCGTTATACGCATAACTGTCACATGTTCTATGCAATCCTTATGCACCGTGGGACTCTTATGCGTATAACGGCAGTACACGTGTGTTACGGTACGACAATGCCATCGAAATTCAGGATTTGAATTAAGCAAAAAACTCCTTTCTACTGGTCACCTGCTGTTAGCTTTCTATGAATACTATCTGCTCATTAAACAAGAAAATACCTTTCACCGATCAACCGATATTATCCAAAAAAACCAATTGAAAACTAAAAAAACTAAATTAGTTTTTAATCAAACAGAAAAAAAAAATATCACAACACAATTTTCCACCAAGAAAGCTCTAATCAATTTCCGCGACACTCCATACACCAAGAAAAAAAAATGGCTATCGCGCGCACCTCAGACGGCAGGATCACTAAAAGTATGGATCTGGATGTGGGGTGCTCGCAACGTCTCCACCGGATAACAGACTGCGATATTACACATACAACTAACAGATGTGATATGAACGAACTAACTAGGAGGTGGCAGCGATAACCAAATCGTAACACCACGATTTGGGTGAGAGGGAGAGGGGGGTATTCGTGTGTGTGAAGGTATGATGACGGATCAGCAACGCCACACCTGATTAGGGAGGATTAAGATGTTGCCCTCGCAAAACGTATGATAATGCGGATTTCTGTCTGCGGGTGATGAGGTGTTACCGATGTTGAAGGGATTTGCCGGTCGGTTTTTTTTTCTCGAACGAAATGAAACGGAATTCTAACAATTGGGCAGGCGGTACGTACCTCTTGGTCCATTTTGCTGGACGTTGGCGAGCTGATTTGCTGCTGTGGAAGCTGTGATGGCATGGGGGGTTTCTTCTGCTGGCGGAAACTAGGTGGCGTGCTGATGGAGTGGGGCTGCGGCAACGGTCGCATTCCCGTCGCGGAGGTAACCTGGTTCTGCAGCGAATGTGACGATGGGCTTTCCGGTAGGACGGCGACACCGTGGATTCCTGAGAAAATAGAGTTGATGATGTTTTACTACTAGAAAGTGATTCGTAGGAAAGGCTATATCTTACCAAGCGGTCTTCCACCGCCCAGTCCGACGGTATTCAGGTCGGCTGATTCACCAAGCGTCTCCACCGGTTCGTGTTCCGTCACGACATCGAATGGAGCCGACACTGTGCTGCTCGGTGTCGATGGGGTAGTGATCATTGGCTGTGTTCCGGCGGTTCCTGCCGCCGGTGTGTTGTTGTTTCGCTTTAGCAGTCGACCCCAGGTCGCCACGTTGATGTTCATCTGCTTCGCCCGTGGGATGTTCTTAACCTGCTGCTTGTTGAAGATCATCCTCTGCCGTTGTAGCTTTGGTTTGCGCGATATCATCGGATTGAGGAATTTGATCTCGGCAAACAGGAGACCCTGCGGTTCCAGCTGCAGAGCCATCCCGTGCCGGATGTCGTCGATGAACTCCTCCAGGCGTAGGAATTTGACCGCACAGAGCGATCGCCAGTCCCTCCAGTAGATACCGATCTCCAGCTCCCGCGATCGGTCTAGGTCTATCGAGAAGCGCTGATCCCATGCCTGCTGCGAGCAGGGCCTCCACGACGTTTGACCAACCGTGATGTTGTCTAACTTAATAACAGCCATAATCTCCGATGATGTTTCGTCCTTCACGCTGTAGCTCTTGGACGAGCTCCGACTGGTGACACCCTTGACGAAGCTTTTCAGGTCTCCCGGACTGGAGCTGGAGTCCTTGTCGCGTCGCGATCGTCCAGGTACATCCTCCAGCAGGTCCTGACAGCCCATCAGACGGACCTCGAGCTTACCGGTAACAGCGGCGCATCGACTGAACGACAGACTGTGGGCTGGCTTGCCTTGGGCGGTGCCACGGAACGGATGCAGGGAGGTGTACTGTACGGGGACCGGACTCGATGCTTGCACATTCTGCAGTTCGGCCTTGAGCTGTATCGCCGCCTGAGAGTCCTGGGGCAGTTCTAACCGTCGCAGTTCGAGCGCTTTCCGGAGCAGGTCCAGCTTGCGGGAGGATTCCGATAGGCGGGTTTGAGCCTGTTCAATGAAGTTGAAAAAAGAATGGTTGTTAGATAAATGTTAACAGTATGGTTATTTTCATTAAAAAAAAACTGTTTAACTGAATTGTGGAACACTTTTAGGTGCTTACCTGTGTAATGACAATTACATTTAGTTAGAGAAGCTGTAAAACAAAATTAAGGCTGTGATATCTCAAACCATCAATGCTCCCCGCGAATACCTAGCTCTATATTCGATCTGTACAAAGATTCCCTAGAGATTACCATAAATACTTCCTACTTCTAAATACAGTGAATGCCACATAACTGCAAGGAAATGAAGAGTAGAAATCGAAAGAAAAAGACAAATGCAATCCTAAAAGCAATATGTACAATGTAGACTTCGGTCCACTTCACTGCAGTACGGCGTAATTCCGCAGATGGAGCTTCCGTCTCATATCGACAATGCTGGAGGGCGCATCGTCGACGGACATGGCCCGCTCCCGTACGTTATCGTCCCGCTGCAGCATCCAGCGGCGGCAGTGTTCGCACTGGCATTCCGGATTCCTCACTGGTCCCATGTGCACACCAGGTTTTCGCTTCCCAGTGATCAAGCTACCGAACCGTCTGGCCAGGGCGAGATACTCACTGGTGTAGCCTTCTACCGGGGACAGCGTCCTCGGAGGGAACGTCGATGAACCGTTGGCATTGAGCAGGGCGTGCTGAAGAATCCGCTTTGATGCGTTTACGTTCGACGGAGCTCGGTTCGAGTTGCTCTTCACCGTTGAAGGGCTAGAATCGCTATGAATCGACTCGTTCGGACGCGATGGACTATCGTACACGAAGCTGTGATCCGATTCTGATAGATTGTTTTCCGATTCACTACGGCGGAGAAACTTGGGATTGTGAATCTCCAACAGTTTTCGTTCCACGGATGGAGACTTCCATGTCTGGTCTCCCCACACCCGCTCCATCTGATGGATTCGGTAGCGATCTTCACTGTTGGCATACTCGAAGCTGTCCGAGTGCGTCATGACAGTTCCGCTTCGGTTCAGATTCACTATACCACTTGCCGATTCATCCAGGTCACCGATATCATCGAAGCCTGCCGAAGCTAGGGCACTCGATAGGCTACTTCCCGTGACGTCTCTCTTGGTGGATCGATTGGAAAATGGATAATTTGAACTGATATTGTCATCGCTCGGATCACGCTCCAAGTACTCCAGATTGGCAAAGGTTTCAGCTTCCTTCGGTTCACCGAGGATCTTATTGAACAGCATCTGCTTCGATTCGTTGATCTCATCCTTCGTACTGCTCCGTTTGACGCTTCTTCTGTTATGCGATCCGGATCTCTTCACACTACCACCCACCGTCGACAGCGTGCTCTGATCTGCAATAGCGGAAACTGTATTCTATCTCGAAATCTACGCAAAAAAAAAAGGAAAAACAACCAACCGACGACAGTTTGCTGAACTAACCGCCGAGGAACATCATGTTTCCCAGCTCGCTTATGCCTCAGTTTCATTTCTTCCGATTCGAAGACTGTCGGATGGGTCACATTCGAGTTGGACTTGATGTCCATGAGATGGCTGGTGTCGAAGCGACTGCCCGAAGCAGATGATAGCGAAGCGGACCGGGACGACGAATCGGCCGACGAGGACGATTCGGCATCCGATCCCGTACAGTAGACATCAATGTGCACCGTTCGGGGTTTCTTCTTGCTGTCCTTGACCGACGAACGCTGCGATTGGAGTGTATTGCTAGGCGAGAGGATGTCCGCCGGTGAAATCGGGGATATACGAGTTAACTGCAATAAAAAAAAACCATTCAGGGGACTTCAAAAGCTAGGATAGAGATACTAACAGAGCCATATTTTTCTTCTCGGCGAGCCGTAACCGGTGACATCAGAGCTTCGGCAGCCCTTCGCGGTAGACTCCGCAGGTCATCTCGACTGGTTTGAACCGTCTTGTCTTTGGTCAGCTCGATATCGCTCGTCTGGCAGCTCACGTCTCTGGCTTCGTAGATTTTCGATCCATTGGAGGCCTAAAACGGAATCTCTGCTTCAGAAAATTTCAGACCATAACGTGGTGCAGATCGTTGCAACTACCTTATCCGGGAAGCAGGTGAACTTATCGGCCGTGTTGAACACATTGCTGGTGGAGGCACACTTGTTGACGCTGATGAAGGGCTCGCCTCTACCGGCCGCTGGGAGGAGGTCTGCCGTTAACACTATACTACAGGTACTGGTGCACTGGGGGAATAGTTGCGACGTCATGGCCGTCGTCAGTGTTTGGGGGGATGCCAAAAAGTTGGGCACAGGATCGGACGGTTTCGGAAGATTCTGTTCCGCGGGAACGGGTTTCGAACCGTCCTCGTTGGTGGACTGTTTGGACTGGAAGGTCGGAATTGAGTTATGTACATAAAGGGGTGGAGGGAAAACCACGGGCGGCGTCGAGTGAAAGTGATTTCGATATTGAGGTATCGGTTTTGGATGGTGGCATATGGCTGGAATAGCTGGTTATGTGCATAAAGGGCCTTTTAATGTTAAATTAATTGTAAATATTCTACAATGAATTTCCATTTTAAAATTCCTGATTTTTCTCCGGTTTTTCCGGTTAATAATTCGAAAATTATTATTATAAGAATAATTAAATGCTTCTATCAATCTGAGTGGAAAAATATTTAAATATTCGGTTAATTTTTCATTCAAATCGTTCTACCAAACAGAAAGTGAAATAAAAGGATCCCATTTAAGCACAGTTGCCCGGCACGATTTTAAAATCAGATAAATTTTTCATAAGATTTTAAATAAAAACTATTTAAACAGATTTCTGTATAAAATTATCTTCTGTATGTATTCCCTAAAATCTAGCTCGTGCGAACCATCTAGCGCTACATTTTATAATAGACGCTGTAGGGAAATCAGGCCGAATGGGTCATTAGACCGAAAGCCATTAGGCCGAATGCGTCATTAGGCCGAATTTTGAAAGTTAAAAGATGAAACTTACATACGGAATTCAAATTACCAATATCGGTCAAATTTTACTGGATTTTTGAACATCTGAAAAATGACTGTTACACGTAAGAAATCAATAACATCGACAAAAAATGTTATCATTAAATGAGGTTCAGTGAACAACGTCTGTACAAGATCGGAATAAATTTCATGATTTTTTTAATTTTTCATCGATTTTTAAAGTTTTACCGAACAGTGTTGAGTATTTATTGGAACATCACATTAACCCAGGCTTGTTTGATAATTTTTAAGCTACGTAACGGTTCGGTAAAACTTTAAAAATCGATGAAAAATTTAAAAAAATCATGAAATTTATTCCGATCTTGTATAGACGTTGTTCACTGAACCTCACTTAATGATAACATTTTTTGTCGATGTTATTGATTTCTTACGTGTAACAGTCATTTTTCAGCTGTTCAAAAATCCAGTAACATTTGAACACTCTGGAACTGCGAAAATGTTCCACTATATCTGTGTGAGAAGGGAAATACATACATGAATTCATGAAATGGCTTTCTAAATCTTGTACATGGAAAAATTTCAAAGATTCAGGGTTATTGAAAAATATCAAAATCACACATAGAGAAAAAATAATTAAAAAGTGAAATTTTGAAAAATTTCCAAGCTCACTGATTTGAAAATGAAACTCATAATCAGTGTAGGGAAAATATAAAAAATCAAATCTCACCAATGCCCACGATCACACTTGATTTTCGTAGACACAAATCATCAAGCAAACAACTGCGGATGATATTACAAGGCGTGATATCGTAGCTACGAAAAAAAACTCACCAGCTAAAATTCTAACCAAACCGTGGTGAGTTTGAGTTTCATGATTTTGATTTACATCCGAACGCGACCTGCAACTACCGTCACCTGCTGGTAGCGGTATCTTCGTGTCTGCCATCGGCGAAGAGTAAAGAGAGATAGCAAACTATACTTTCTCTTTTTAAGAAAACGATGTGCAACGGAATCATTTTTGTGTCGAATCAACTCTCAGTTTGATTTTTGCATGTTGTGTATAGTTTCGCAATATCAAACGAGCTTGTAAAATCAATATTTTGTTCCAATATCAAGCTTGATATTGAGAGCGTATGAGAGCGGAAAATTATAATTTGATTGATGATTTTGCCAACACTGCTCATAATTATGGGCAAGCATGGGAAAGCTTGCGAGAGCCGCACTGATTTCGTTCGCATTCTCTTCTTCTTCTTCTTCGCATTTCAAGCTTATTGCTTATGGCATATTAGCTTATTGCGTGCTCTCAACTTAGTGTTCTAGATGCACTTCCACAGTTATTAATTGAGAGCTTTCGATGCCTGTATCATTTTTGCATTGGTATAATTGTGTGGCAAGTCCAATCATACTTCTATGCCCAAGGAAATCGAGAAATTTTCCAACCCGAAAAGTTCCTAGACTGGACCGGGAATTTAACCCAGCCACCTCCAGCATGATCTTGCTTTGTAGCTGCGCCTTTACCGACTGAGCTAAGGGAGGCCCAAGGCGCATTATCATTGCTTCTATTTTCTTCGATGAATGCAGATTTGAGCAAAACAGACAGCTGAGCGTAACATGAATGATTGTGAGTGTAGTAGTGTGGATGATTCCTCACTTGTTATTTTTTGCATTCTGCTTTTACGATTGCATTCTGTTGAGTGAGCTGAGTGAGAATTTTGCAGAAAGAATCACTTTTTATTTTCTAGCTTTACACATAAATTGACACATTTAAATTGGTATTAAAGGGCGAACACGAAATTATTGCGACACATTCAACAGGGCATAACTTTTTTACCATTGGGTAAAAATCAACCAAATTTTGCACACTTTCTCATTGATGTATATTGTGTACATGCTGTCAAACTCGAAGTCGTGTTTTTCGATTCAACGAAAATGGAGGTGAACCAACGCGAGTTGAGAGAACAAATTCTTTCCAAACACCTGGAATTTCTTGACCTGTCGCACCGGCAGTTGGGAAAAATGTTGAACATTCACCATTCAACCGTCTCCAGAGTGTTGAAGCGGTTTCAGGAGCGGTTGACGTTGGACCACGGCAAAGGAGCTGGAAGAAAACCGGGACCGGAGAACAAAAAGACGGAGGGAAAGGTGAAGCGGATGATTAAAGCAAATCCCAACGTCTCAAGCCGTGATTTGGCTAAAAAGATCGGCATGTCGCAGAGCTACGTCCAGAATGCAAAGAAGAGAGCTGGACTACATATGTACATACAAGGTACAGAACTTCCCAAACCGCGATGAGCGGCAACAATCGACGGCTAAAACTCGGGCACGGAAGCTCTACGAGAAGATGCTGACAAAATATGGCTGCTGTGTGATGGACGTCGAAACGTATATAAAAGCCGATTTTAAGCAAATTCCGTGGTTGGACTTTTTCACCGGCAAGAGCAAGTTCGATGTGGACGACAAATTTAAGAAGAAGAAAATGTCGAAGTTCGCTTCCAAATATCTCATTTGGCAGGCCATCTGCTCTTGCGGACTGAGGAGTGAGCCTTTCGTGACAAAGGGCACAGTAAATTGCGAGATCTACAAATCTGAGTACCTCGAGAAGCGCCTTTTGCCGTTCTTGCAGCAGCGTGACGAAGCTCCGCTATTTTGGCCAGATTTGGCATCATGCCACTATTCTAAAAGTGTCCTGGAGTGGTATGAGGCCAATTCTGTCCATTTTGTTCCAAATGACATGAATCCGCCAAACTGTCCGGAGCTGCGCCCGGTGGAGCAGTACTGGGCAATAATGAAGCGGGAACTTCGGAAGAGCAAGAAGACAGTCAAAGACGAGAAGGACATGTTAAGAAAATGGAAAAAAAACTGAGAAACTGGTACCGGATGACACTGTAAAGACTTTGATGGAGGGCATCAAGCGAAAATGCGTTCAATTTTACACTCAAGGCTCCATCGATTAACTTTTCTTTTGATTTTTGAAGTAAATATATGTATAAAACTACCCTAAAATTTTGGTTTGATGCTAAACATTATAAGAAAATTGGCATGACATTTTCGGTGTCGCAATAATTTCGTGTTCGCCCTTTATACACACTAAAAAAATCTGAATTTTACTGGTGATGTAAACATCCATGAATGCAAACATTCATGCATGTAAACTTCCTTTTCACGTAAACTAGCAGGTTGAAAAAATGTTGCAAAAAAAGGTGGAAAGTTGCATACAATATATGGAATATTGCATGACATGTCTCATAAATTTACACGATTTATAATGTAAATTTGTACGCTCCATTTATGTGCATCATAGTAACGGAAATTTACACTACTTTTTTTTAGCTGTGTATGATAAAGATTGAAAAAAACACCCCCGTAACAACACATCCTTGAATACCCGAGTAACATTTCCAGTTTTATAGAGGTTTTATAGCATTCTACAAGTCTAAATCATGGTCTACAGAACCTTCATAAAACCAAAATTGTTACTTGGGTATATAGCAAAGAGTAAAACTACTGTGGCCAATTAACTGATTTAAATCACTGAGCCAAAATATATTTCACTCGGCCATTTAAATCGTTAGCGTTCGGTTTTTACGCATTCAATCGGGACCTCCCTCGGTAGGAAAAAATGTTCGGCTGCCTTTCAGTTTATCCTGCTGTCAGTTCCGAGTCTATCTGCAGAGATGAAAAAATTACACTCATTCGGCAATCCGTTTGTAGATGAGGATGGCTATTTTGTGATTCACGCTCGAGTGAATGCATTTTCCCATGCTTGTTTATAGGCGCTGAAGTCATAATAGTCAAGAGTCTGAGACTTGGAAGAATTTTAAGGATTATAATAAATTACAGATCATTCTATAGAATCCTGATGACCAACCCTAGAATTTGAAGTGAAATTTAACAGGAATCAAAGTGTTGATTTTAACGAAATACTGAGGCGGATTCCTGCATTATTTTGGAAGGAGAATTTCTCAGCAGAATTTAAAAATTATTGAAGAAATTAAAAAATTAAGAAATTGTTAAATGCATTTGGAGGGATTTCTGTGGAGAATAATCGAAATTTAAGAGCTTTGATAGTGTTGGTTTATTTCCTTTAAAATCCGTTTAATTGCTTATCTTTTGACAGATACACGTATTTCGTCTACTACTTGTAGACTTCATCAGTGGCACTGATGAAGTCTGCAAGTAATAGACGAAATATAAGCAATTATAACGGAATATAAAGGAAATAAACCAACACACTCAAAGCTCTTCATAAAGGGATTCCGTTAAGAGGTTCGACAAATTTAAAGGATCGAAATTCTAAACTAAATTCTAAGGTCATTTTTCACGATTTATAAAGGGAAATTCCAAGATGAGTCTGAGAATTGTATGGGGATCCCAAAAATGACAGATGAATATTAAAAAGCATTCCTAGAGAATTATGATGAGAATTCAACAAGAAACATAATTTTAAGAGTATTCTGATTAGATAACTCCAATAAAAATCGGCTGTGAATTCGAAAGAAATTCTTAAAAATGCTCCAAGGGTTTTCTAAAGAAAATTACGAAACATTTTTGCTATGTGTTTTGATTAGAAACCAGTTCCAGCCAAATAGGATAAAAACATAAAAATTTAAGACTCGACCTTCTCCGATTTGCATGAAACTTTGCATAATTATGTGTCATCTGATCACTCAAAGCGCGCAATGTACTGATTTTCTGAAATATACAAAGTGAGAATCAAGCAAACACAAAGTTGGCTTATTTTTCACTATGCGCAAGTGTAGAGCAGCGGAGAAGCTCAATGTGTAGCCATCGCTCCCACGGCTCCGACGCAAAGAGCACCACTCAGTGTAGGGTTGCAAATGGGAAACACAGCAAAAAGACTACATTCTTCAATGTTATGTCCTTCTTCATCTCCTATGCATGCAGTCGTGGTAAGCAAAGTCTGCAAAGAATACAAAGAAGACATTGGCGCTTGTTTTATTATATTTGCTCCCTGCGCCGCACGGAGTGTACCGCTCATTGTGTCGATCGCTTTCTCACAGATTAGTTGGAAATGAGTGTGCGAAGTAAATGTCGAGTGTTGTGAGATGCATGCACAAAGTTGCTTTGCTAACGCTCTGATGTGCTTTCCAGCCCTGAGTGTTATGGGCAATCATTACAATTTATGACAAAAAATCTGCCATTTTAGATCTTGTATTTTTTTTTCGACATTACGTCTTTGACATTTTTTTCAATAAATTGTAGAACCAAAAGGTCATTTTTGATAGAAATGACGTCTGACACAAAATTGTTTAGAAAAGTAGAATTATTCTGGGAAAAATATTCCCGGTATTTTTTTAGCAATTTTGAGTAAAAATTCAGGGAAGCTTAAATATTAAAAAAATGCATTTTTTTAGCTTCTTCTAAAAAAAAAAAATAATTGAAATACTACATCCAAAATGGCCGAGTTTTTTTTTGCAAAAAACGATTGCCCATAACACACCATTATGCAAAGTTTTATGCCAATCGAAGGTCGAGTTCCTCCGATTCGTCATTTGGCGTGGGACTGCTCTAGAGTTAAAAGAAAATTGGGAGAAGAATTTCAAAGGAATCAAATTCTCAGAATAGGTTTCTAAGAAGAAGGATTCTATTAAAATTCTTAGATGGGATTTCAAGCAAATTCAAAAGTAATTACGAGAAGAATTTTCTAGTTAGTTTAAGCCTAGTAGTCTAGAGATAATTTAGAGAATTACAGTTCAATACTAATCGAGAGGAAAGGACAAACAGAAACGGGCACTATTATAAGATAATATGAACCATACACTGAGGTAAATAGACTTAAGAATTTCATAAGCGCGACTTATGTAAGATTTCCGTCTAACATGAGGTAGCTCTTATACGTCTTTATCCATTCCATCTCCCAAGCGTTTACAGACGAGTGGTCCAGAAACAGGACCCGTAATATCAACGTCCATGGTTCGGTTCCAGTCTGCACCGTTTTATTATTTTTTTGATGATGATAGGGTAGAGCGCTATTTCGTCGCAACCGCCCATTTCCGTTCTATCGATCAGAAAAGATCAATAATATCAATGATTTCACCATTCACCGTCAATAATATGTTTGTTCCGATGCGTTCATTAGCTACAACATAAATCCTATTAGAACGCATTGTATGAATATTTACGCTCATTGTTCTCAAAACAAAAGAAGAGCTCCTAGAGAATTTGCTTTTTCTACGTTTATCCGTAGGACGAAGGAAACCTTAAAGCGTTTCAATGCGTTGGGACGGACTTGAAACTCGTAGGACGAATTTAGAATCAAGAGCAGTATTAGATTTTTAATAATATCTCAACAATTTGTGACTCTTTATCAAATTCAACGGTACGCATGGAAAGGTGAATAAATATAGAAGTCATCTTTGACAGAAATATTCAATTTTTCAATCAAACCCGTTCATAAAAGGGAGGTAAAGCGCGGGCTGTGCTGAGTAAGACGGAAATTAGATCAAAAGCCCTATTATTTTTCATAAGGCAAATCAATGAAATTCATACGAATTTCTTGTGGCTAAAAATCATAAGTGGTGAATCTCTCTTTCCCTCTTAAGGGCTGTTCATAAACTACGTCAACACTTTAACGAAGATTCTACGGTCCACATCAATTTCCAAAAAATGTATGAGAGATTGCCTACGCGGAGGTAGGGGGTATAAATCTCTAAAAATCGGTCGTAGTTTATGAACAGCCCCTTATGGCTGTTCACGGACGGCCCTTAATGTGAATGATGTTTATAAAATATTGCTTGAGCATCGGAAAGTGCAATTTTCCTTTCATAAGATTTATCATTAACACCCCTTTCTTCTTACCCCGTCAATTACGAAGATTTAAAACAGGATTCTTGCTTCTTTTTTTTTCGGAAACCACATACAACTGGAATAGATTTTTAAACACACAGTTGACTAGTAAATTAGATATCAACATTTTGATATCTTGTTATAATTGAATTCTTAAAGTGACAACAAATGTTGTTTGTCATATCAATAATAACATATTGATTACTTATTTTGATAAATATTAGCGAAAATGTCAATATCAAAATGCCCAATGTTATCAGTAGAGATAGATTCGTTATGATTTTGATAATCTTCATATACCATTTAGATCATTTTTTTTTTATGATTACTGTAAACTCGACCACACTGTTGTCAAATTATGTTATGATAAACGATTATATCATAATATCAAATTATGTTTTCACTTTGTTTTCATTATCTACTCGGGTATTGAACACACCAGTACAATTTATTAAAAGCGCCCTAACCCCAATTTTTCCTAAATGCCATATAATTCCAAAGTGTTTTAAACAGCTGTTCATTCGGCAAAGGCAAATATTCTCAACAGATTGAGTAACCACGCGTCTCCATATAAAACCCCTCACTAACCCGTCACAATGCTTTCTACAAGCTATATTTCCTCCAAGACTAAATTAGTTTCTAGTTCAACGACCAATGTCACGAGAAAATCTGCGTTAATAATACCGCTTTCTCAACCTCATGAAATGTTATACAACCTGTCACCTTTAAAAACGATGTGTTTTATAGGTCATGAAAGAAGAATGAAATCATTACCTACTTTGTGTCAGCAGTATCATGTATCTCCCTCATCTTCACCGGATTCCACGCATAATTCTAGACAGTTTTCCAAGGAAAACCGAACGCCACTCATTAAACCACCTCAAATCGCTACTAATTATCTAGAGCTGCCCATTTCACTCGACACCGCCCACCCACCACTAGTGGGCAAGTTTTTCCTGCTCCATGCAGCAGACTATGTATGTTTCTGAAACAAAGCGCCCTCACCTGATCCACAGACGCCGACGACGTTTTCGGTTGGTCAGTGGCGGTAAAAATAGCAGCACCATCTTGCTTCAATGTCACACCCCCACCGTCAACGGGAAAATAATTACCGCTGACAGTGGCTCCATCCGATCCACGGGGAGTACTAAATTTATAGATCACCTTCACCGGTGGCCTTTGGCTGGATGGTGCCGGTGACTCACCTGCACCTGCACCACCACCACCGTCATTGCTATTGGTATTGGACGCTGCTGGATTGGACTCGGCCGAACCGCCTTCGGATTTAAGTTTATCACAGCTAGCACTGCTTCCCTGGTGCGAAAGGGTCAGCTGCGCATGCACTGTCCACTCGGCCGTAATCTCCGGTGGCACTCCGACGCCCAAACTGCTTGCCATATTTCGAGACTTTCAAATCGTCAATCACTATCACCAAACTATTTCTTCCTCACAAAAGGCTTCCACGGTTGGCATCCGTCAGTGTCATTCTTCGTGGAACCGCAAATCACACCAATAATAACAACAACAGCGACAACGGCATTCATGTCACAATGTTTTTCCGACAACGAAACACTTTGTGAATATTTTCATCACCATAGCGAGAGAGAATGAGTTGAGAGCTTCACAGAATGGGTCAACGTCGTCACGATTCCACACTATGCCACTATAATGCGAGAAGATGAGATGCACACGGTTTCTTCAAGGTTCCTTCGCTGCCATAAATAGGTCAACCGTGTCACGTCGCGTAACATAAGGGGATCTATGGTAAAACTTAAATCTACACACGTTCACACTTGGCAGTGACTTTATAATAATAATAATAATAATAGTGAATGAAGAACGCTCTCGTCGAAAACCGCACTCGCAATCACTCTGACTAAGAAGGTGCCATCATTTCCGGATGACGTTGATTGCTCGGGTTCATAGCACTTTCACTTGTTCGCAAAGCCGATCCCGAAACTGCACTGGGATGGCCTTTCCGTGAACGCCCGAATGGCCGTATTTTTCCTCCGATTTAATGCCACTGGCCGCGTGTGTATTGTTTGTTCTTTTAAATAGAAAGAACAGCGGGCGTGTATGCCCCGTCGTACCGTCGTCGTCGTCGTCGTCGCCGCCTTGCCGTGTGTTGTGTGTGTTTATAAATAGAGGAGGAGTAGCCTCAGCTAAAAGGAATCAATGAAATGATCGTCGGAGTGCGAAAGTCGCGAAAGTAGAGTAAACTGACCGACCGTTGAGCGACGGTGCGGCGGCGGATATAGCTCAGATGATGACGGTGGCCGGTGGAGTTGTGAACCGATTGATTTGCCTTTGTTGTCGGTAGAAAAGCAAACGGCTTCAAATGGGATTCAAGGAAGATTGATACGTGTCAAGCTCTGCTATTTTTTTGGTTGTTTAAATATAAGTTGAACCTATTGCAGAATGAACGAATGGCTTGAATAGACAATGACATGATATAACGTTTTCCAATGGTAGTAAATCAAAAAATCTAACTTTGAGAACTAATGGTCAAATTGGGGATGGCTCCGTCGTAGTGGTTAACATCCTTTTAACATACCTTGATTTTGGACCACCGTGAGTCATCTTTGCCAAAATCGAATGGGTACTGACTGTATGTATATTAGGTTATTTTGAATTACCGATTCAGGTTAATCGAATCTCTATCATTATTTTTTTCATTTATATAGTCACCGAGACTTTTTTTACGAAAAAAATCACGATGAAAATGTATGGGGGAAAAATGTCGTGACATTTTTTCCTCGTATCATTTTCATGACATTTACCACCACTGCTCATGGGTGACTTGTTCGATTTGAGTGATGAGATTTGAAATTGTGACTTTTGCGTGAGAGGTATGGATGTTAATCAGAACGCTGAGGCGGTCCCCTTAGTCGATTCCAAATCAGGCTCTAACCATGATCTCCCAAATTTGAGCTCATTCGGTGTGATCTCATATGCAGTGCTGGGATTTGTCATTGTCATTGACAGACTTTCGCGCAAAATTGACAAAATTGTTTTTCACTAGTCACTGACAGACTTAATCCTCAAAAAAACCACATTAATTTTTTCGTCAATTTAAAAGATTTACCTGGTAGAAAAAATTGTAATTTCATGCATTCTGCGTTACATTATTGTTATCCAAGCAGATCAATACGTAGATGCTTGTTCACTTTAACGGCTCCATGTAATTGTGTTGCTCAATTGATTTAATTTCGTTACAAATTTATTTAATAAAAAATGTTCGTCACTGACAGCATTGTCATTGACAATTGACAACGTTTGCTTTGACGATTACTGTCAGCTCAAATGAGTGACCAAAGCAGAATTGTCAATATCACAGTGTATTGTCGAGATTTTGCAGTACTGCTCATATGGCCTCAGTGGTTAAGTTTATTCGGCAATATACCTATTAGGACAATCTTTCGCATGTCAAGATTGTTGCTTATCGCATATTAGCTTATTGCGGTGCTCTCATCTTAGCTGTCTCGATGCACTTCCAAAGTTATTAATTGAGAGCTTTCGATGCTAGTACCATTATTGCATTAGTAAACTTGTGTGGCAAGTACAAGCATACTCTATGCCCAGGGAAGTCGAGAAATTTTCCAACTCGAAAAAATCCTAGACCGGACCAGGACTCGATCCCAGCCACCTCCAGCATGGTCTTGCTTTGTTGCTCCGCCTTAACCGACTGAGACTGAGGGAGGCCCTTAGAGGCGTAAAAATGAGCACTTGTCAAATGGCAGTAAAGATTATATTTGTTTTGAAAAACAAGAATGAAAAGTTTTTGAAGTAACCTAAGTCTTCAGGCCCACAAAGTTTCGTTGGATTCTAAACGGAAAGATTTTTTTTTTCAGTGCAGACAACAAAAAGTTGTTGTAAGAAGAGCTTTGTCGCTATAAACGCAATGTTTGAACCAACATTCCTTAAGCTTAAGATCATTGAAATGGGACAATCCTGTTCACATGAAAATCTACGAATCCCAAGTGCAGTGTGGCTTTAAATGGTGCCTTCTAATTAGAATTATCTTGCTTTGGTTCTCGTTCCCAATGTATTCCAATAGAACACCAAAGCATTAATCGAGTTTTGTCCCTTTAAATTGGTTTCCACGAGTATTTTTCCCCCCTTCCGAGAAACTTTGCAAATCGCATAACCTGTTTCTTGACAGACCTTGGTATGAACTAGTGTTTCCTACCCGGGACATCCCGGGATATTTACCAAAAACCTCGTTTCTCTGGGTGAAACATATCAGAACTTTCCCAGCAGAGTCATAAGAAACATCTAAGGATAAAGTTTGCAGAGACGTCCAGAGGAAGTCTAAAAATCTTCTAAGGGAAATCGGAAGAATACTCTAGGTGAAATCAGAGGAATTTTCTAAGGGAAGACAGAAGAAATTTGTATGGGAATTCCAAGAAAATAATTCAAGGAAATCAGAAGACATTTTCATGCGAAGCCGGGAGAAACTACCAGAGCTGTCGAAAAAACAGCTGGGGTCTGGAGTAGTTAAAAACGGTTTGATAGAAACATCCAGTGACATTTTGAGAAACTTGGATAAACCTACCAATGGAAGCCAAAAAAAGCTACCACGGAAGCAAAAAACTTCTGCAAGAAACTTCCTAAGAAATCAGATGAATATTTCTAGGAAAATTAGAAGAGACTTCTGGAAAAATTCTGTAATATTTGCTGAGTAAAAAGTAAGAGATTGCATCCGTAGATTTGACGTAGGATTACGTGCTCGGTATCAATATTCGGCGACTGTGTTAGGGAAATCACGTTTTCCCATCACGGAAACGCCTCGTTTTCTGATGACGAAATTACGCATTTTCGTGCACAAAACGCACGGGCTGTAGCTCGCCATGCGCTGAAAGCATTGCGCTGCTGCTGACCGATAGGACACCACTACACACGGTGATTGAATAAGCACCGTTCGGCGAGACCGGATGGAATTCGATTTTGAAATCTGTGTTAGGGAAAGCGCTTTTAGCAGGGAATCGGCGATAACTTTAATCACCATTGCAACAGTTGGACATTTGTGTAATTTTCAATAGTGACATATTGAAAATTGATAAAGTTTTCATTTTATCAGATCCGTAGAAAAAATTTCAATCGATTGACTTGTTTGGAGTTAAAGTCCATCCGCTATTGACAGAGTTATAAGTGGTCAAAACCTGACCACTTTTCGTAACACGGTCGATTTTGGTTTATTGAACTTGCACCCCCAATATGTTGGCAAAAGTCAATCGTTGGCAGCTCTGGAAAATTTTCCGATTGAAGTATTAAATTTAAGTGGTTAAATTATTTTCTATATTATAAATCGCCATACAGAAGTTATGGAATAAACATTCTGATGAATAAATGCCATGAATTCAACTTGTTTCCGGACTTTGAAGCCATCAGCTGTTTCCCGTTTCCCGGGAAGCTAAAACATGGGTGGGGAAATCGAAAATGGACGACTTGTAGACAGGGCCGGGCAAAGCAAATTATTTTCATTTTACGTTCAATCATAAAGTTTAGCTCTGAACTTCTGACTTAATTTTTTTTTTTCGTTGGCCTGCCAATATATCTGAGCTTGTTGGTCACAAATGGTTGAGTTGAGGTAAAAGATCTTTCAGCAAATCAGCTTTGATGCATTGCAAATGAAGGTCCTTGAGGACACATCGGTAACTGATGAATGGCTGAGTTCTTTTTGTTTGCTGAACATCCAAGGTAATGGTCTTAAGAAGATTTATATTGAAGAATTGACGTCTATATTGAAGCTAAATGTAGGCATCAATGCTTCATGATATGTGTGCTTGAGTTGTATTGTCTGTCTGTCTGTCTGTCTGTCTGTCTGTCTGTCTGTCTGTCTGTCTGTCTGTCTGTCTGTCTGTCTGTCTGTCTGTCTGTCTGTTTGTCTGTTTGTCTGTCTGTCTGTCTGTCTGTCTGTCTGTCTGTCTGTCTGTCTGTCTGTCTGTCTGTCTGTCTGTCTGTCTGTCTGTCTGTCTGTCTGTCTGTCTGTCTGTCTGTCTGTCTGTCTGTCTGTCTGTCTGTCTGTCTGTCTGTCTGTCTGTCTGTCTGTCTGTCTGTCTGTCTGTCTGTCTGTCTGTCTGTCTGTCTGTCTGTCTGTCTGTCTGTCTGTCTGTCTGTCTGTCTGTCTGTCTGTCTGTCTGTCTGTCTGTCTGTCTGTCTGTCTGTCTGTCTGTCTATCTGTCTGTCTGTCTGTCTGTCTGTCTGTCTGTCTGTCTGTCTGTCTGTCTGTCTGTCTGTCTGTCTGTCTGTCTGTCTGTCTGTCTGTCTGTCTGTCTGTCTGTCTGTCTGTCTGTCTGTCTGTCTGTCTGTCTAAGCTAGTTACTTATAATAATGAGTGGTTTAGTTTTTGGCATGTTTTAAATCTCAAATTGGAAAAACCTTTGGTGACCAAAATTGATAAACCCCTCAAATGACTTTTCATAAACTTGCTATGAGATATTCTTAATATTTATGGGTTTCCTAGATCCTTGTGCGAAATATATTTTCAGTAGAAATTAAGGAAAATTTATTTTTTTGAATGGAGTTGCGCCTAAATGTATGCATTTTTTTTAAATCACTTATAATTTCACAGAAAATCATTAATTTCTTACAATGAAAACATTTTTACTATAATAAAAAAATGATAGACTGACATTTAGTTCACTGAATATTGTCACTTTCATGCTAAGGACAGCAATCGTTCCAACCAGTGCTGTTAATTTTCATATCATTCGATTGAAGATGAACCAATACAACCATTCAATCAATTCTGTGAAAACGAATTCTCACTTGACCATAATTTGAAGAGCCCTTTTCTCATTCGAAGCTCATCGTCACTGTCAATTGAGTCAGTCACTTTCATTTGATATACGACAGTGAAGTACGGAAGAAACCCAGCAAAATGGTCCCAAACAGACAAGTCGAACCCGATGTCGGATCAATGTAAGTCAAATGTAAGGTCGATGTTGACCCAATGTCGTGCTGTTGTCGGGTTTATGTAAGGTCAATATCGGGTCAACATCGAGTTGGGGTTTGGTAGAAGTCAGGTTGGTGTCGAGTTGGCTTAGAATTAGCCATAAAAGGCTAGAACAAGAGTTAGTGCCCATGTCCCAACCGTCAGGGGAAAATGGAGCATCACTTAACCTGTCTAGCCTAGATGCTTCCAATGACCAACCAATCATACAATTAACAAAAACGGAAGGTACGGTACGAGATGTCCACGTTGCATCCATTAATTGGATTCTCGATTTTTCTGAATCATCTTGCCCCTTAAAAGCCGCACAGTAGGCCAGGCCGTTTTTCATACATCAAATAGACAAGACAAATGATGGACGTTTTTCCATCATTTTCCAGGATGCTTTCGAGAACTAGCGTGACTTTGGATGTTACTATAGATTGGATTATATTAGAACAATGTTACTTAGGACCATTTGAGAGAAAGGCAAAGTACTAGAATTTTCAATATTGTCAAACCCTTAGCATTCGACTCAAACGATTCTCTTTGTCAGCTCGCGACCATTTCTTCGATTCACTGTCCATTCAATATATGTCAACCAGATGTTTTACGACACAAATATAGACTAACGAGAGACACGTCCCATGATCAAACCATGTGGCACTTTCACTCATGTGGAAAATATTCCTCCGATGAGTCCTTTTCCGTTTCGATTCCCAAGCGGTGAATTATGCACCGTTTAATCACAGCAGTTTGTGTTTTTGTTTGCAAATTTATTATGTTGTTTTCATTTCCACTGACGACAACGTTCGACTGCACTTCGTACTACCGCCGTGTGAGGAGAAATTCGTTACACATTTGTTACTCCGAAACCAACGACACACCACCATCATCTTCTGCCACCCGTTCATTGCAGTTGTAAATTTTCGCAAATTTATACCACTTGATTCACACCACGGACCATGTTCTTCTAAAAGCCACACTGACAACCGCAACCATCCATCCCAGCAGATGGTGGTCACATTTTGGAATTTTATTGATTTTTCACAACTTCGCGGTCTGGGTGCACGCACGCACGGACGGACGCACGCTTTTCGGACGGCGATCTTGCCGAACGGAACAATTCAACTGATCCCGTGTTGAGATTCCCAGCTCGACGCTCAACACTCTTCAAGCGAAACCATTATGATCGAGTCGGAGAGAGCTCGACGAGAGAAAAAGGTCCTCTCGTAAGAAGACAAAACACATGCGATTTCTCGTGCCTTCGATTGTGACTGGGGCCGTATTCGGGTCACGATCTCACGCACGGTTTCACCGAAACAAAAAAAAAAACTTAAACAAATAAAAAGATCACATTATTCCTCGCGCTCGCACAGTTCGATCCGAATCGAAATAAATCTGTCAGCATGGGCGGTCAATTCCCAACCCGTGATGATCTAGAATTCACGATTTGAAATGGTGGATTAGGAAAATTTAATCACACGCGTCAATTTACGGACCTGTCGATTCGTGGTGGGGTTCGTTCGTTTTCGTTCGATCAACTGGTTGATACTGAGTTGAGCATTGAGAGACCGAAAGCGTTATAACCGAGGACGACGACGACGATGAAGAAAAAAAGCGGCATGTTGACGTCGGTCCGAAGGATTGTATGCGATGAGAGATGATGGAAACTGTTGCTGTTGGCTGGCGCGGAAAATCGCTCGCTCTGTTAGAATATTAAGTGGATTTTGGCACCTTCGGAATGTTGATGCTGAGGCAGAGGGGTGTGAGAGGTGGTCCCATTCATACTTTTGCCAGGAGGGGAAGGCTGGGCGAGGTAATTGCTATTGAGAATGAGAAATAGTAGGTGTCATAATCTTAAATTTTAGGATTTTAGAAGCAGACAATACAAACGTTTTAAGAAAAAAGTCAACAACGAAGTCAAGGAATGCCGAGGAGAGCAATTTAGCTAGGATTAGTTCGGACCGTGTAGTGTAGTCTACCATGTGGATGGTCGGGGGTGTAGGGTTGAATTAATTGGCTTATTTCGCCTAAGTCAGGAGGTTATAAATACTGAACATGTTTGTGTCGAGAATTTGATGTAGACTATAAGGCGCTGAGAATATGTTTAAATTTGTTATTAGGGGCTTTTCCTAAATTGTTACGCTACTTATGTGAGCGTTTTGCCTGTTCTCAACTGAGTGTCCTTAGAAGAGTTTCCACAGTTGTTAATTGAGAGCTTTCTTTGACAACCAATGCATGAATTTGTATATTGTGTGGTAACCAGAATGATATTCTATGCCCGGGAAAATCGATAGAGTTTCCAACCAGAAACATATCTAGACCGGATCGAAAATCAAACCCGCCATCTTCGGCTTGTTAATATGTGCCTTAACTGACTAATTTATCTGAGGCCCTTGAACCCACGACCTTCTAATCACTGAGTGGAAGCGTTGAGCACTACACTTTGACTGTGAGATACGACCATAACTTCAAATGTAGAATTGGTATTGATATGGATAAAATTATTTCTTTTAGTAAAAGTATCATGCAAATGAACTATGAAAATCAAACTAACTGGGCCAAACGCCAATCGCTGATCCAAAAACTATCTTTTCACTGACATTAGATCTTTGCCGTTCAGTTCTTACGTATTCAACTGAGTTTGCACTCAGTAGAGCACATTTTTCGCATTATCTCAGGTTCTCGCCTGTTTCGTTTTACTCATGGTGGCCTCAAATAGCCCAGTCAGTTAAGGCGCGGTATTACCAAGTCGGAAGCGGCGATTCCCGGTCCGGTCGAGGAAATCTTTCGGATCACCACTGAACTTCACAGAACTGCAAGAATGGCTTCGGAAAACGTCAAAGTAGCACTAAAATTAAATGATGAAGCAGCCATAAATGAAGCAAATCCATGCCAAATAGCGAAACAATAAACGAATTTTAGATTTTACCTTCCATGAAACTTCGCATAATTTTTTGATAATGGACCAAGTTTGTGCTGGAATTTGACCATATTGACTCACGTCTAATTTTTTTAAATGGCGTATTCAATATTTTTAAATAAATCATAGCGCGAAAACGGCTCACCTAATCAAAGCGACGTCTGATACAAAGTTCTGGGAAACTGGATTGCCTTTTCAGAAAAAAATACACGCTAAAAAAACCCAAAATTTCATAAACAAAATTTAAAAACAAGTAGTGTTAAAAACTTTAATAACAAAAACAGAAGATTTGTAAAACAGGGTGGCAAGTGAATTTTCTTTTTGAAATTCCCGTTTAGAATCTCAAAAAAATTCCCGGTTTATAATATTCAGCAAAAATCAAATTTTCGTAGTTATTTATGGGAAAATTATCTTCAATAGAAAAGCTGTATGTATATCATTGATCTGTACGATGTGATGATCGATCCATTATATACGTTTTACAGTCATGGGTCAGCTAACAATAATTACGAATCCGCCAGTCCAGCATGTTGTCGACTTTAAGTGTTCCACAAATGTGTAGTGATTTTATAAAATATGCAAAGAGTAAAGGATATTATCGGGATATTTAGAAAAATCAATTTGCATCTTTTTTTTCTAAGCTTGAGACCACTTATTTTTGCAAAGCCCCGGAACCAGGGCCTACTGAGCACCTGAGTCATGGAATATTTTTATGGTCTCTAGATAGAATGCTGTTGAGCTGAATGTTTCATTCAACCGAATTGTAAAGAATAAGACATTGAATTTAGAAATTGCGTTAGAAATGTTGAACATTATACAAATGAGGAATCACAAAAATAGAATTGAGAAAATTCTGTTTAAATTTTTTTTTTCAAGATTATAGATTTAGACAAAAAAAAGTTTGATTTTTAAATATGAGTTTGAGAAAAATATTCAAAATGGGGAATTTTGGAAAATTTACAAGATCTTAGATTAAAATAATACGGTAATGGATTTTGGCTGGACCTATTTATGGAATCTCCACACTGCGTCTAAATGTATGCCGTGTTTTTTCTATGAATATAACATACCTAATTCAAAAACTAGTTGAATGGTAGTCACTTGGAGGCCCAGGGCCACATTAGCCACACCTGGCCATGGTCAAAAACCATCATACATTGAATCACATTACAATTCAACAGCCAGTTCAATGGCAGTTATTGGGAATAGCCAGGATCACGCATTTTCCGGAACCCCAGGAAAGCGACCACTTTCAGACTTGGATCAAAAAGCATCATGAGTTGCTTCAAATCACATGAGAATTCATCTATTTCCTCTATGCCCTATGTTTAAGAAAATTGAAACTAGGAAAGTAATCATGTTTCCAAACTTTTTGTCAGTGTGAACGACAACCTGAGGAAGGTTTTAAAACAAACGATCAAACTGACGTTTGTCAGATAACGAGCAGACCCAACCTTGATACCCGATTCAGGTTGGAACTGCATAAGAATTCGCTTTTACTTTGTTCTGCTACGCTACGAGATAACATCGATTCAAATCTGCTGCTCGCTAAAGAAATTAATCATGTTACCATGCTTCTGCGTTAATATTCCTTTTGATGTCACTGCTGTTTTTTTACGATGACATCTATCAGAAATTACGCATACTTTTAGTTCCGTTAATTGCTAACAGAGTGCAGTGCGGTAAAAACATGTATGATACCTCTATATATGCATTTAGATTAACATCCGAAGCCCCTCCTTTTTTGCATATTCTACACAAAAACTACATCCAAAGTCCCCCCTTTTTTACGTATTCTGCATACAAAATACTTCCTAAACCCCGCCCTTAACAGGATTTTCCACCGTTTTTTTTATGAATGGGGCGGGCAGAAATTATATTTTACAGAATATGTAAATAAGGGGGGAGTTATGATGTTATTTTAAATGCATACATAGAGTGATGCCACATTTTTGGAATATCAATCTGTATTTTCATCGCAAAAAATCTTTTTTATCTGTACCTGGCTGACAAAAATCTGTAAAAAAATCTGTATAATTTATTTATTATGGTCTCAGTATGAATTTTCCTAAATCTTCTTGAGTTCATTCATAGTTCAGAAGGAGTTTGTTCAATGTTTAGAATCTTGAAAAATGACTAAAGATTGGTTTCATTGTCTTCTTTGATTTTTGTAAAAGTGATTTGTATCTTTTCTACAAGTCTGAAAATACAAAACATTAAGTACCAGTAGAAGTGAGAGACAAATCTGTTTCCGACTGAATATTTCCTGGGTTTGCTAAAACGGCTTGTTTACCGATTTGAACAAAAAATATTATTAATTAAATATCGTATCTGTCAGCATGTGACATGGTTAACTAAACAAAAAAAAGGGAAACTGATATCCCTTCCAACGAGAAACCAGAAAACATGAACATCAGAAATCCATTAAAAAGATTCCAAGTCCATTCAAAGATATAGTAATACAATCGTATTTTATTTAGTGAAAAATACGTTTTAGTTTTGATGATCATAGATTGAATTCAAGCTGCTCAAAAGGAAGAAACGATTATTTATCAGAATAAATAAATATAAAAAAATACAATTTTCTCCTTATTTGAAAAATCTGTAATCTGATATCTGTATCAAAATATTGGAAAAAAAATCTGTATGTTTACAGATAAATCTGTATATGTGGCATCAGTACCAGACATGTTTTGCAGAGTTCGAAATTTTCGCCTACTTGAGAAGAGAAACGTCATTTTTCACCTGCTAGGAGAAAAAGATGAGAATGTGAGAAGCGACAGAATATTATACGCTCACAGCAGTTTTCGCGAGAAAAGCAACAGCGATTTATTTTTTTCGGAGAGCATGAGCAGCAGATAAATCGTTTCTTTTTCAGTGAATTCTTGATGCCGATAATGATTTTTCACTTCTTTCATACACCTGAAAATTCACTTTCCGCACGCAAACGATGATCCGAAATTAAGAACCAAAACAACAGTTAGGGCACATCCATAAATTACGTAGAATCTGAGGAGTAATGGAGAGGGGGGTTCAACATTTTTAACGGACCATGCATAAGGTATAGAAAAAAACGCCACCAAGGGGAAGGAGAAGGTCTAAAAGTGTCAAGAAAATTGAATCGTCATTTATGGATGACCCTTATGATTTGACAGAAGGTATAAAAGGAAATAATAAAAAAAATCTGCCGGACTGGTTGAAACCAATGAAATGCAAACAGGTGAGGTTATGTGAAATCGTTGTCCCTTTCGTTCTGCCGCTGTTTAAATGGATAACAC